GCCACAGACATCACACATTTCATCACCAGTTAACATGGGTTACATGGAGGAACAGGGAAATACAACATGCTATGGACATGTCAGAGGAAATGTGAGAACCTGATGAGCACACACGAACCACAGAAGAGTTTGAACTTTAAAAAAAAATAAATTGTTTTTTCACAATAAAATGATTAAAACAATTAAAAGGATAGGATCTGTAAGATGTGGGAGAGGGCAGTAGATGAATATATCAAAGAAGCAGAACCAGTACAACACAGTTTGTCATTAGTTACAAAGAGTGCTGACCGCTTTCTAAGCATAACAGAACTACATATACATATATGTCAGTGCGCCCCAGGGCAGCTGTGGCTACAATGTAGCTTGCTATCGCCAGTGTGTGAATGTGTGTGTGAATGGGTGGATGACTGAATGTAGTGTAAAGCGCTTTGGGGTCCTATGGACTAGAAAAGCGCTATACAAATGCAGGCCATTTACCATATAGGATGACAAAGCAGTCTTAAAGGCTGTGATCTGCACTCGGATTGCATGATGAAAACTTCACCTGAAATGTAAAATAATACGTGACGGTATATGAACATAAAAACGTGACTAAAAATTATTGTGACTAAATGTTGTCTAAACTTTTTTTTTCTCTATTGCTCACACTTTTGCAGGTGCCCAGGGTTGTGGGAGGCCACCACCTCTTTCAGATGGAGACACCAAAACAAGTACTAAACGGCTGTACCAACATAATGAAAAGGTTGAATATATCTGTCAGCGTTATCACGTCATGAAGGGTGGACCGTTCAAAACATGTAATGATGGTGAATGGACTGGAGAGATTAGATGCCTCCGTAAGTAAAAGTTTTCTTTATATTTTTCATGTTACATTCTGTGAAGAGAAACGTAAAAAGTCATTTTGGTTTCTGTTTTTTAATTTTGTTTAATTCCAGAGGTGTGATCGATATTTACAAAAATATACACAACTGCTTGTGAGCCTCTCAAGATGAGAAACTATGTATAAAATATGAAATTAAATATGTTATTCACAAACAGCGAATGCATTACTTTGTTGAAGCCCTTCAATAAACATCTTGTCACGGTCCTGGGTCGGTTCGACCCAGTATTTTGAGTTTCTTATGTTTTGGTTTATTTTTGTATTATGGAGTAGTTCTTATTCTCTGGTGATACCGTTTTGATTATAATTATATTCTGATTCTTTAGTTATCCAATGATGATGACGATGATGATTATTTCTGGTTTAGGTTTTGTTATCTTGCCCTCATGTTTGGTTTAGGTTGCCTGTGCTTAGTCTTCTCTGCCCGTATGTCCCTCTGTTTGCCCATGACGTCATTATGCCTGTTTACGAGTCTGTGTCTCTGTCTGTCGAGTGCTTCCTGTTTTATTTTGTAGGTCTGTGTCCTATGTCAGTGCGTTCAGCTTTGTGCTCTCCCTGTCTCGTCAGTGTAATCAGCGTCAGCCGTGTCTCCCAGCTGTTTCCTCTTCGCTCCGTTCACCTCTTGTATTTAGTGTCTGTGTCTTCCCCTACTCGGTGTCGCGACGTTAACGTCTGTTCACCCTCGCTTCCTCTGTGTGTTCCGTTTGCCAGCCAGCCTACCTGCCTAGTTATTCTGTTCTTCCAGTTGAGTTAGTGTTTTTCTGTTCTGCTTCTTACCAGCAATAAAGCTGTGTGTTTTGAGTTACTTCCGCCTCAGTGAGTCCTGCATTTTGGGTCCTCTCTTCCTGCCTGCCTACACACAGACATGACACATCTTGACTGTTCAGTTTAAAATCCACTGTGGTGGT